ATGAGTGAGTGAGTGAGTGAGTGAGTGAGTGAGTGAGTGAGTGAATCTCTCATATATATATATATATATGAGAGAGATTCACTCACTCACTCACTCACTCATATATATATGAATGATTATATACGTATGTGTACACACACAGTTTGAATACAAGGGGTCACACAATTTTAAGCAGCCCTTTAACTTTGTTGTTAACCAAGAAGCAAAACTTAAAAGCACAAATTTTAAAGTAGTGTTAATGAATTCTTTCAATTATACTTTATTATTAAGTTTCAGTTTTTTCCTAATTAAAGATGTATCAATCATTGTCCAGCACCCTGTTAGATTTAGGTATTACCTTAACAATTACTAATTTAATAATCTAAAATTTATTTTCAAAATATATAAGCCACATATTTACCCATGTTTAGCTGAATTATGGTTACTGCAATATGCTTAGCATTACTACTTTCTACATAGGATTACCGCCATGTTATTGAAAGTCTTCCAGAAGATGATAAGCCTGATTTTTTTGGCTTGCCTGCCAATATTGCACGTTCATCTCAACGAATGATCAGTTCTTTGGTAAGATTTGGGATTTTATTTATTTGTAGGGTTTTGTGAGAAAGGGGTTTGTTATTGTTTTGCTGAATATTATCAAGATTGCACATATCATTTATAAAGAGGTTGTATCTTTTTATTGTAATTTAAATAAGTTTTCCAAGATTTATTGCATGCATCCTGTTCTACTGAAACTTAGTTCACTTTAAAATATGGTAAGGAAATAGTTCACTAGCAAAATAACTTGTTAAAGGGGCTGAGTTTCAAATGGAGGATGTGATAACTCTCTGCACATATTGAATGGTTATGAGCTTGTGTTGTGTCAACCATACTGATTCCTTAAATATGAGAAATCCTTTTTCTTAGGCAGGCCTTTAAAAATAAAATAGACTGGTACTATGAATTCTTACTCTGCTATAGATTTGAAATACACAGTTTCTCAAGCATGATGAAGAGTTCTTTATGAAAAAAAAAGTCTAGTGATTGATACTATAATATATTCATGAAAATGTAAGCAATGTTTCTCAGTATATACTGATCTACAAGTATTTCCTTACTGGGACAATGATTATTATGATTACCAGTCCCATTATCCCATTGTTCTGATGGATAGCAAGGGAGAAGAGCTATGAAGTTTTTATAACATAAAACACCCTTTTGTAGAGATTTCTGAAAGATGTCTTTGTTCACAAATTTGTAACATCTCACTGTTTAGAATCATATAATATACTTTATTAGATTCCTTAGGGGTTTCTAATAAGCATTCCTACCTTCATTTTTAAAAAGATAGGAAAAAATCAATTAAATTAGCAGGCCAGTTGTCATATGAATTTTGTCAGCATAATTATTTTCAAAATGGAAATGTAATGCCAATTAGAGCTGGAACCAAGTCCAGAGAAAATCAGTCTTAGATCAGTGCACAGAGGGTCCTCTGTGTAGTCTTTGTAGACTTGAAATTAGCTTTTGATTCTATCCCTGTAGAAGAATTCGGGACAGACTTATACTGAATGGCAGCTCAGTACTGGTTACCAAGAATATAGGTAAAATGTCAAATCAGAGCTCTTTCTCAAAAGAAGCTAAGCAAGGCTGTATATTGGTTTTCCTTCTGTTTAAATTCTATGTAAATGGCATGGTTGTTCCTCTGATGAGAAGATAATTCCATTTCCCTAACTAAGCTGATACTCATGTACAGTATGCAGATGATGTGGCAGTTATTTCAACAACCTCAGTAGGCATAAGAGAGGAGATTAGAACTTACTGTGAGAAGGAAAATGTCACAGTAAAGTTTTAAATGGGAGTATTGTAAGCCCCAGGAAGTGCAGGTACATATTTATTCACTAGGGCTTATATGCCATGACAGTCCAAAAAGACTCTGAATGGCTTAAATAAATATCACAGTTTTAAAAAGTAAACAAAATTATGACCTTTACAAGAGATTTTGGAGGCCTAAACATAGTTGCCAAATAACTGGAATTCCAACTGAACAGGCCAGGTCCTTCAAACGTCTTGGAGTTCTGTTTCATTCTTCTGGCTCTTAGAGTACACAAATACAGTCTATCATAGAAAATTCACTAAAACCTTCTAGGGTAATCCTGAAATTCTTTTGTAGGATAGTTGACAAGTATATTCTGGCTATTACTGAAGTCTTCAAATCCAAGGTAATTCTGCAGAGGTACAGCTATTCAGTACACTTATAAGCCACTGTATACTTGTTCAGTACAAATCTGTAGGAGAAGGGCATCATATTGTGTTTTCCCTATATGTTAAATTAAAGATTAGAAGACAGAATTGAGATATTTCATTTAAATTACTGGCGTTAAGTAATCTTTTCCAATGAGCCTTGGCTTTTTTAATCACCCAGGACTGTTTTTAAGCAGGAGATACTTACAAATCTGAGTTCTCTTCTCATTTCTTCATCTCACTGGAGGTAGACAGGATTGAAGTACCTGCTAAATAACAGGTTTCAGATATTGATTTCCAGAAAGATGAGAACTTGGGTCCTTGTGTTCTTGGGAAAAAGAACGGTTATTTTAGTGAAGCTCAGTGTCTTTCCCACAGCTCTGCTGGAGAGGAAAATGTGTATTATAGTATTCATACTAATCAGTATGCTTTTCCACATTTACCTGAAGTAGTATTGTTTGATCATATACTGTTTTAATATCTGTAATACAGGGTATTTCAGTCAGTTTGTTCCTTTTTTAGAGAATGCAAAAGAAGTGATAAAGGAAGCACATATTACATCAGATCAATGTGTCGAATATTACTTAGAGATTTGCTAAGTTATATGTACTGAATGTGCTCATATGACATAGGCTACTCAAAACGCATTATTAGTATTAATATTGTATAATGTATATAAAAGTATATTATTTTATTGTGGATTACCCTCTGTAACTTTCCTTTTCTCCCTCACTTTGATTTTTTTTTTAATTTCTATCTGATCTTGGATCATAGTAAGTTTTATCAATTTATCTAACATTAGGACTTCAGATTAAAAAAAAAAGTTTCAGCATGTACTTTCTTAGCCTACTGTATGTCTTAAATGCCTCTTAATTTCTCCTAAACTGCAACACTATTATGATGGGTAATTAACTAATGCATTGTGATGATATATAGAAGTGGTGATGGTACAAATATTCAAAGAATGCCCATTGTTAATGACTGGAATGAAATATATGCTCAAGTCAATTATTTAATGTATTTCTATTAGTCAGACAATTAGGGTGCTTCTTTGGATCAAATGCATTCACTCCTCCAGCAGCTAATTGGAAGTCTAGGATCTGTGTTTTTGCAGCAAATGTTCAATTAACCAAACAATAAAAATGGTCAAAAATGAGTTTTACATCAATATGCCTATGTGCTGTTAAAATGTGATGGTTTATTATTTTTAATTTCCGATAAATAAAGTAATAAATATTTCTTTTATAAAGTACTATAGAAATTTGTGGAGAAGATGAAAGGTTCTGTGGAGTTTGTGGGAAAAATGAAAGGGACCTACGGAGTTACTTTTTATATATTCTTACATAATAAAAGCGTTAAAATGATTTTTTGAGGAAAACCGTAATCTTCTATATTGATACTACTTTCGTTTTAATCAGTTCAAGCCACTATACTTTCATATTTCATATTTCACTATATAGTGAAATATATATTTCAGATAACTTCTTATCAGGAATATCTGATGTTAAATGGGTGCACTCTGTATATTGCCTGGGTGGTTTGCCGTGACTGTTCTGTTTCTTCCTTGTACTTCTCTGCTAAAATGTAAAAATCACATGGGCGATCTCCCTGGTGTCACTATCTCATGCAACTTTAAAAACTTTTATTTTGATGCTTCTATCATTTCAGTTTAGATATCCCATCCTTCCACAGTAGGATGATAAAAACAAGAAATATTTAAACAGTTACTTTAAATATTGTTTTAACATAATCAGACTTTTAGTTTGGAATGGAACAGGTAGCATTTTTGCAGTAGCATTTGTTTAAATCTTCTAGAATAGTTCGGTTTTTGGTACAGTATGCAAAGTTTTTCTGTAGCACAATGTAGCATACTGCAGTTATAAAATCTCCTATGAAGCACACCATCACAAGTGTATTTGAGCTGAGTGGAATTGTCATTAGAAAGAAAAAAAAAACAAAGTTAAGAGTACAACATCATGTCTAAGAGGTATTTGTGACATGCTGTAGTGTTCTTTGTATTGCAGTCAGCATTGTACGGAGTGATCACTGTGAAATTTGTTTCATAAACATGACATGAACATTTATATTGGGTTTAAAATATTACTTGAAATATTAATAGTTATCCTAAATGCTACTTCACATTGTTATATTTATTTGTTAAGCAAATTTATTTAGCCGCCCATCTCACCAAAATGACTCTGGGCGGCGTACAACAGTTAGATAAAAAGACAGATATAAAAACAACAGAAAAAAATATAAAATCACATTAATAAATATTACAGTTTATATATATCACAGATTATATACCACAGTTATAATAGTTATACCTATATATACCACAGTTATAATTAATACCACAGTTCATATACCACAGTTTATAACCATAGTTATAAGATGTCTGATAGGCTTCCAGGGCCAATTCAAGTCCTGGTTGTTACCTATAAAGGCTTTTTTTTACTTGAATACTCACTCCTGATCCAGATAGAAACTGCCCTCAGTACATGCCTGTTGGGACAGAACTGTTTAGGTACCCATTTCTGAAATTATGACGCAGTCAGGTGCCTTGGGAATAGTCTTATCAGCACTCTCAACTCTGTAACACCTTGCTCCACAAGTTCAGGATGGCCCCCACTTTGTTAACATTTAGAAGGGCTGTGAAAACTATGCTGTCTCATGGAGCTTTGGTGAACAGCAGTGGTGGGATTTTAATTGTGCTTTAACTGATTATTGTCTTTATGTTTTTATAGTTATAAGCCACTCAGAGTCTTGCAAGTAGGCAGTATACTATGATCATAGGAAACAAATACCGCAAGCTGACTTCTCTAAAAATGGAAAGACCAAAGAGTATAAAAGAATGGAGAAGTGGAGATGATGGAATAGTTCTGGTCAATGTGGAGGGCTCTGTATATAAGTGTAAAGGATCGGTGTGGAGTAAATAGAAAGGAAAAGTCATTCCTATAGATCTGATGATTTTCTGATAAATGTTCCTTATATTGAATAAACTCAACTCAAGCAGCAGACTGTAGAAGAGACCTCATTCCCTGTTGGAAATATTTTAATAAAGTTCCTATGCTTGAGAGGATGGCAGGCAAGTACACATAATGCAAATGATGCAACCAAGAACTGTAAGGTGTGGTGCTTAATGAGGCTCATTATGATAACTGCTTTAGCTTTAAGATGCTGAAAGGAACATGTCTGAAAGTGCAGAATCTTCAGATTAGTAAAAGTTGTGATACTTGCATTTAAATTTTTTTTGACAGTTCATTATAGCTTCTATTGCTGCTGCAAATATTTAGCAATGTGGGCATTTCTTTGAAGATGCTCCATTCTTCTATATATGGTTA